CATGGTTACGTTTACATAACTTCAAGAACGTTGTGGACATTATTTGGGAAGCAGAAGACCAGATGCAAGACAGTACCTACATGTCTGTATCATTCCATTACTAGTTTGATTGCTTGCTGTATTTCAATACATTTCCACCAATGGATTTTTAAAATTCTTAAATTAGAGATACTCATTTAGAAAATGGATCTTGGCTTCACTAACTGTTCCATTCACTGTCATCCTGCACGTGCTGCCTCTGTTTGTTTGTTTTCCTCCTTGAGGAAATACTGGAAAGCATTTGTATGCTTGACAAGGAAATGTCAGATTTTCCTGTGGATAGTGTGATCGTTAGATAAGTTATGACAACCCGAGGATGTATAAAAGTGTACGGATGGTACGCAATCTGCCAATCTGGTTACATACACAGCCCGGCAGTGCCTCCTTGGGGGTGGGCTTCTCATAAGGAAGCCCCTAGGAAGCTTGCCCTCTCTCTGCCACAGACCCTGAAGTTGCTGGAGCCCTCCCACGTTTCCACAGACCTTGGATCCACAAGACTGCATTCACCAGCCTGCATTGTTGCATGTAGCTGTGTGAGTCTGAACAGGGACTTACGGACTAACATCAGACATAGGGACTTATGTTGGACTGGGCTTGGATGTTTTCTTGATGTATAATTACTTCTTGACATAAAGATCTTTCTTGCACATATGAGTTCCTCTTGTCAATCAGGAGAACACAGATAATTTAGAAATAAATTACAAATATTAAAGAAACTCTTCTATTTTTTTTTGGCTAAGGATGAATTGACACACGATGATCTGAGTGAAAGATTAGTTAAGAGTGAAAGTCAGTCAACACCAGTAACTATTAATATCTAATGGCAAGTGATTCATCCACACTTCAACCACAAAATGAGTATACACACACACACACACACACACACACACACACACACACGCACACACTCATGATGGCAAATTCAGACTTACTCAAACTTTGCAATGCTATTATTTGGACATTTTCAATGTGTATCTACAAAAGATGTTCAGTAAAGGTTCATGATAAATGTAAAATTTATATTTTTATAAGATACAAAATAAGCTCAGTTATAAATACATTTGAAAAAAAAAAGTGTGATGGCTATAAATCTATCCCAACTAAACAGGGGGAGCATTTTCAAGTTTGCTTTATAATTAGGTCCCCTTGCATACAAACATTTTAGATACAGGTGCCCAACGCTGAATCTTTTTCTTTAGGGAAATGGTATTTTGAAAGAATTTTTAGCACGTAGGCATATAATGTTGACAAAAATCCTTATCAATAAAAAATCTATAAGAATATGATATTAACATAAGATTCTTCAAACAACCACCCGTTGCTTTCTGTATCACACTCCTCTACGGACTCTCATTTCTGCTGATTATTTCAGAAAGAAAGCTTCAGTTGGGTGTTAATACGCTTTGACACTTCTCTTTAACACCTACTAAATGTCCTTGCGAGTCCCTGGGTGGTGCAAACTGTTAACATGCTCAAGCTTTAATCACAAGGTTGGCTATTCAAGTTCATGAGGTGGCACTCAGAAAAAAATTCCATCAATCACCCATTCAAAACCCTATGGAGCATAATTCCACTTCAACACTATGGCCATTATGCTGTAAAATTTCTTAAGGTTGCCATCGACTCAAACTGAACCAAACTCACCACCATCCAGTTGATTCTGACTTGCAGGGATGCTGCAGTATATTCCCCCGTCAAAATTCCCCCGAGGCTTGCTGAGACTGACTATTTATGAGAGCAGAAACGGCATCACTCTCCACAGAGTGGCTGATGACTTTGAACCGCTGACCTTGCAGTTAGCAGCCCAACATGTAAACAAGACACCACCAAGGCTCAGCTCATTCCAATATCTGAGACTCGTGTGTGTGTGTGTGTGTGTGTGTGTGTGTGTGTGTGTGTGTGTGTACATACAAGAGCGCATGCACACATGAGTGAGGGGCAGAAAGGTGTTGGATGGAAAATTGACTGGAGTGATTTTATAAAACCCTGATGTTTTAAAGGATGTAACAAATAGTGAAAATAACTATCTGAGGACTCGGCTCTTTCCCCCGTTTTTAAAGAAAAAGAGCAAATATATGTTGAGTGCTTGCTATGTACCCTGCATCATTCTTAACCGCATTGCAATTTGGGGCAGTAGAGTCCATTCTGATTCAGAGGGAGCATACAGGACATGTCATAAAACTGCTACCTATAGTTTCCAAGCAGTAATCTGTAGGGCCGGAGCCTGGAACATTGTTTTCTCATATAGCAATTAATGGGTCTCAGCTAGCAGTCTTCTGGTTAGCAGTAAGTGCATAATCACGTGCCACTGAGGAGCCTCATAACATTTAACCCATATTAATTCATTCCAGTTTCACATTAATTAAAAAATACGTTGAGTTTGTTGTTTTGTTGAAAGTACACACAGCTCAGCATATTTCTATTATTTCAGAATAGTGCTCAGTGATATTGATAACAATTTTCAAATTGTGTCAATATTCTCATTATTTCTCTTCTAGTTGTTTGATTCCCATGAACTCAAATTCTCTGCCATCCACCCTCCTCCCCGCGTTTCTCCTATGCTTTAGAGCAAGCACTGTGCTCTTGCTCTCACACAGGTAAGGTTATTCATAGTGCAAGGGTCAGCGTGAGATCATCGTATTTTTCATGAGATAGATCCTACTGCACCGCAGCATCACAGACAGGTCTAAAGAATCATCTAGCCTGTGGATGATGCCCGCTGGCCTTCTCCTTTCACAGACACATAGAGGTCATGCCCAAATTTTCAGAAATCCTTGTTTTTCACTGTTTCATGGTCAGTGTTGTTTCCTACAAGAATCAACTAATCGTCCTGGGTTTGAGACACAGGACAAGCAATACCTGTCCTCATTTGAAACCTCCTGATGCATTTTGCACTCAAGAAGTTATAATTTCAACAGGAGATACGTTCTACTCAATAATTACCTTGACTGGGAAGTAAACAGAACTCATCTTGTATGGAAGCCCAGTGTAACATTCTTGATCATGTTCTGTAGAGGACTACAGATTGGGCGGACTGTAGCCAGTTTCGGTCTACTTTTCCATCATTTGTCAACTCAAAGCCTCTTCTCTTTTTTCTTTCCAAGGAGACTGAGTTCTCATTGATGAGACTGAAGTCCCTCTGCAGGGCTCTTCTGGGGCCATTCACAATAGCTGTGCACCCCTTCAGGGAATTGTCGAGTATTTATGGAATGTTGATGGTCCAAGTCAAGTACTGAGAATAGTCTGCATTCCCAAAGCAGATAAGGCAAAGAGAGGGGGATTCCTTATTTTTTAAGCTGAGACAATTAATAAGAGTTGATCTCAGGGGGTAGTTTTGGACCACGGTGTAAATGGCATCTCAGGACAATAGTCTCATGGTTTCTCCAGTCTGAATGGGTCCAGTAGTCTATCTTGTTTGAGAATTTCAAGTTGTGTTCATCAACTTCTCCCTTTTTTTCCAGGATCCATCTACGATGACAGATCAGAGCATTTGGTACTGGTCGCTAGGTACAATCTAGTTCTTTTAGATTTAGGGTAGAGGAGGCCATGTGTGATGAATTGATACAATTGATCCTAAAGCCTGTTCTTTTTTATGATTCTTGGGAATACATGTGATCTTAATAAAACAAATTGAAAGACTAAGTCTCATTCCCCTCATATCCTAAGTATTAGATTATTATTTTTAGGCATGCTTTCTATGGGCTTTCTAAAAACAATGGAAACAGTATCAACAGGATAAAGGTGAATCAGTGTCTAACTAATGGTGATGGCAGGGCTAGTTTCTTCCAAAGAGAATTCTGATCTTATTTTTCTAAGACATATTTGTTTCTTCTTCTGGAAGCCAATTCAATATTCTTTAGTAACATGAGAATTCCAGTGAATCTTATTTTGCATTATCGTTGTTTCATTGTCTCCCTTTTTTTTTATGTGTACAAGGCAACAAAAACATAACATGACTTGGGTCAGGTGCATCTTAGTCATCAAAGTGACAACGTTCCTTGTTAGAACTTTAGGGAGGTGTGCTGCTGCAGCTTGGTCGAATGCAGTATATCATTTGATTTCTTGATTGCTGCTTCCATGGATACTGATTGTTGATCTTTCATGATATTATTTATTGATCCAATTGTAAATATTTCCATTTTCTTTTCTTTAATTAAAAACATGTTTCATTATGTTTAGGGTGACAGTTTATAAAACAAATTATTTCCTGACTCAACAATCCACACACAATTAATTCCATGACATTCATTGCTCACGTGGCAATCCTTGCTGTGTTCTTGTTATGTATCTGTTATGCTCTTGTTAGGTGCTATTGAGCGGTTCTGTCACATAGTGACCCGATATAAACAGAATGAAGTGCTGCCGGTTCCTGCGTCAGTATGGATGATTCCTTCTCCATTCTTAACACCACTCACTCTGCATAGAGTCCACCCTCTCAGTGGTTTGCTCAGTACACGGATTGAATAAGCATGGGGAAAGGATGCAGCCCTCACACATGCCTTGTCCATTTTAAACCAAGCATTTAACCTTATTCTGTTTGAAGGACTGCCTTTAGATCCAAGTAGAAATTAGCTAATTGTCATGGTTAGGTGCTACGAGTCAGTTCAGACTCATAATAAACTGTTCCATAATAGTGCCTGCACTGTAATTATTATTGTTTTCTAAGAAATTTATAAATACAAATAGCTATATAAAGCCTAAACAGCAGTATTAAAAGTAGTCCTGAGTCACTGTACCACAAATATTATGCTTGAAAGCGAAATTTTTTAAAAGGATGGCAAATTAGAATTGAATATAACTCAGACTAAATGATGAGCAAACAGTGTTCTGGAAAAAATGTTTTTTGAGAAAAACAAAAACTGCATTTAAATTTTTAAAACTTTGTTAGCAAAACAAAAACTTAAAAGCAGAGGTTTCTCTGCTAATTTAAAATGAACATTTGAAATACTTTAGAAAATGGGTTAAATTAATATATTTAGGTTAACAATGCTGAAAAAACCAGTGTCACAGATTGTAACATCTTCAAAGTTTCCTGTGAAAGAAATGCAAAGACAAATGTAACGCAACTGAGATACAAGTAACCTAAGATAAACATTTCATAAGATGTGATAAACAAGTTTGGAGATGGGCATGGTTCATGAACTGCTGCTGACTAGGACCAGGAGCTAAATGGTTTAAAGCATCTTTGCAGGAAATAAATGTGTGACTTTTGATCAGGATGCCTTAGGTCCCTGTTTTAGAATGTGCTACTGTGTTATGCCTACTGGTGACTAAAACAACAATATACCAGTCATTGTGGTAAGCACATTAGCTCATGTAAACCTAATATTAATCTCTTGATGGAAGTATTTTCTCTTTCACTTTATAGTTCACGTAAAGGGGCTGAGTAATTTGCCCACCATAAAACACCAGGCTACAGGTTAGAACCTGTTCAGTAGTGCTATTGAAGAAAGGCTTGGTGATCTGCTTCCATAAATATTACAGCCAAGAAAGACTTGTGGTGTTTTCCAGTCTGTGACTCATGGCTGGGTATCAGAATCAACTGAATGACTGTTTCTAACCCGTGTTTACCTTCCACCAGGGAATTCTTATGTACTCAAGATAAGAATATCAGCTCCTTCCATCTTCTGATACACGGAATAGTTATAGATAGCAGGTGTAAAAAACAGAGATATCCCTTTACTTAAAAACTTTCAAATTGTGAATTTGCATTAATAAGAACACAGTAAAAATGAGAATAAAATTCACAGGCACAGATGGCAATAGTAAATGTACTTTGGATCTACAGAATTAAGATGAATCTATCTGTTCAAAGCATATTTATAAGTTGAGGGTTTTTGTCAGTTATGAAGGAAGACTCATAATAAAATGGCAGTAAGAATTTACAAAAGGCAACTTTTTGAGAAATGTCATTGTACTTTGCCAGGGAAAAACACCTAGATGAAACGGTTTTGTGTGGAGAAAGATGAACAGCCCCCATTAATGCTAATTGAAATTCTCCTATCCACACAAACCATGCGTAAAATTTACTTCTGCACTTACTCTTTCCACCTCTAAATTTCAGTAATTTCATGCCAAAGTTCTGGCTTTTTAATTTGAGTATCCATGCATGAAAAATTGCACTTTTATTTGAAATTATATTCACAAATTGAATGCAGGTGAAATCTTACTACTTGCAAAACAGAGAAGGTTTTCATTCTCATTGTTGTAAACACACATACACACACACACACACACACACCATGGAATTCCTTAGCTAGTTATTAATTTGTTTCAGAAAGTTATTTCTTACTATGTCTCAGTTTTTGACATGTGATATTTTATTTAATGTTTGAAAACTGGAATATGTGGACAAGATGTCCCATTTTTTCACTCCTATAAATTAAAAAATAAATTAAATCAATGGTATAATGTATCTTACATATACAATTAAATATTTCTCCCATCATGAATGTGTGTATTATATTTATTGCTAGAATATTTTTTTAAATAGGCCTCTAAGTACATGGAACTATATAGTATCTCATTATTGAAGGATAATTTGTAAAGATGGAACAAATGTTTGTTCTGCTCTAACAGTCCAAGGCCTGAAAAGTAATACACTTTAACCTATTAATTGTTATAGACAAAAAACACAGCACACACTTTTCAATACAACAATAAGGGAAAGATCCTGGTGCTAATTCTTCACAGCTTACTCCTCCAAAATGGATAATTATTATTTATTATTTCTTTTGAGGCAGTGAGAAGTTACCCTACATTCTAAGTAAAAGGCAAAAAGGTTAAGAGCTAGGTATACAAAAGTTCACCACTACAAAAGAAATGTCTATGTATAATATATCAAATAAACCCTTCTCACCCGGGTTTTCAATTGAAGGGCAATTTGTGATGAAAAGCCTTACCTGTACAGAGGTGAGCAACAGATTCCATTTGGTCTAGGAGATATTTTTGAGAACTTAATAAAGAGATATTATTTATGTTGCTATAGCAAATTTAAGTTTTCCCCTCTATGAAAGTCAATTCATCATATTTCATCAGCATTGCCAGCCATGAAAATACAGCTGTCAGTCTCACTGAGTCCTCTTAGGGATTACTGAGAATGCCAACTAATTTGTCATCAGCCTAAGAAACGGAAAGTCATTCATTCATCTATGACATTACCAAACCTTCATTTACAATAGTTATTACACGAGTATGGGGAAGGGCGGAAATAATGGTCTGGTTACAAAGATACAGTAAGCATGAGGAAAGTCGGGGAGAGCTGGAGAGCTGATGACAATGAGCATAAGAGAGAAGTGCATGTTCTAACATTGTGGAGATGATTGTACAACTATCTTTAATACAAGAGAATGATTAATTATATGATACATGAAATGTATGGCATTAAACTTTAAAACATATAGGGAATAAAAGGTAGGTACTGCAAATTCCTTGGCCATAAGAGATTTAGACTCTAGTTAAATAAAATATCTGTATATTTTGAAACTCACTTAGAACGACATGATAATGGAAGCATGATCCGAACAATGTTTGCAGGTACATAAGCAACTAACTATAACTGAATTGCAATATCATTAGCATGATTTAAACACCTGTATTTAGATTTCCATAATACTTTACCTTGAATCACTGCTATAAAGCTAGCTAAAACAGTTCAAATTTAAAATAGAATTTTTTTTGCTCAGTTGTGGTAGTGGGGAGAAATAATCAAATAACTTTAAAATAAAAGCCTATATCCTTCAGGAAGAAGTTCTAATTCTGCTATAAAATTAAAAATTTATGATGATGTCAAGTTTACTCAAAACATGAGCTTTGAATTTTCATTGGTTATAATAAGAAATATGCATTCTTTTCCTTGTGCTAACCAATTATGTACATTTTTCTAAAGTCAATGGTGCTTCAAAAATTAATGAATGGAATTTAAAAATGATAACCATGTCCTATGAACTTTTAGAAGCCCCCTCATATATCAATCAGATATACCCAAACACATGTACACCCAAACTGAAAATATCCCCAAAATTCGCTCTCTGTGGTTTGAATGAATTGGTGCGGGGCTCATGAAACACTAGAGCAAGTTTAGCCTACAATAGTTTTAAAGTAGCGAGCATGTCTGAGGGCATTGCGCAGTTAATTAAATAGGATGAAACTCTAAAACCACCAGGGTCTTGGGGACTTCACCATTCAAAGACCTAACTGGCTCTTCAAAAAAATAATACATTGAGACTAGCCATACAAGAGAGAATGCATAAGTTCCATGCACTGATACATTTTTATGGCTACGAAAAGTTAGCAGCAGCATTTTTTACTGAAAAGATACACAGGATGGTCTTAAAACAATAAGGTAAGTCTCATAGTAAACAAGCGGCCATATAGCCCAGAAGCAACAAAGCCCACATGGAAGCAGCACACCAACATGGGTGATCATGAAGGGCCAAAGGGGCCAGGTTTCAAACACCAAAGGTGGGGGGGGGGGGGGGGAATCATATCCTCGTCAATGAGGGTGGCGCGTGATGGGGACCCAATGCCCATCTCTAGACAACTGGACATACCTTGCAGAGGGGTAGTGGGGAGATGAGTCACTTAGGGTTCAGTATAGCAATAATGAAACCCACAACCTTCCTCTAGTTCTTAAACGCTTCCTCCCCCCAACTACCAGGACCCCAATTCTGCCTTGCAGACCTGGTTAGACCAGATGATGCACAGCAGTACAGATGGGAATTGGAAACGCAGGGAATCTAGGACAGATGAACCCCTCAGGACCAGGGGTGACAGTGGCGATACCAGGAGGGAAGGGGGGTGTAGAAAGGGAGAATTGATCACAGGGAGCTACATATAACCTCCTCTCTGGGGGACGGGCAGCAGAGGGGTAGGTGAAGGGAGATGCCGGGCAGTGTAATATAAGATATAATAATAATTTATAAATTATCAAGGGTTCATGGGGGAGGGGGAGGGGAATGGGAAGGGGAGGGGGAAAAAGGAAAATGAGCTGATTCCGGGAACCCAAGAGGAAAGCGAATTTTGGGAATAATGAGGGCAACAAATGTATAGATGTGCTTTACACAATTGATCTATGTATTGTGATGAATTGTATGAGCCCCAATAAATTGATTTTTTAAAAATAAAATAAAATAAGAAAAGTGTTTAATATACTTACTGAGCATAAGCAATCTTTCCCTCTGCAGTCCCACTAAGGGTTACACTTACCAGGTCTACTATCCAGAGGTCCAAAATCCAAGGAGTACTTCACCACGTGGTAGTTGTTCCACACATAGAGCAGGTTGTCCCTGGGGTTGTAATCCACAGCTGCGATGTACTGGTAGGAATTGGGAAAGGGTACATCCACCAAGCTGTCCTTACTCTGGTCGGTGTTATAGATGTAGTCAATCTTATTCCCCGTGGCCTCATTGTCATCATCCTCATACACAGACTTGACCACATACAGAATCCCACAAATCATAAATGCGTTGGAAGCTGACCTTTTATCATATGCAGTGTCCCATGTCCCTTCAATTCGTAATGTGTAAGGGTTCAATTGGCTAATGACAATTTTACCATTGTTTTGTTCTGTTGCATAGATTACCCATAGCCCGTTCTCATCCACTGCCAAGTCTATGTCAGATTTGCCTCCCCATCGGTAAGGAGAGGTATCATGGTAATTGGCATTTGCTATGATAGCTTCCCCACTCTTTATTCTAGTCCGCAAATCAAACTTTACTATGTTCCTGGTGCGTTCTTTGTTGAAGAACAGAGCTCCATCATACACTACAAATCCTGTGCCGTCCACCCTGTGAGGGAGCTTGTAGGTTGTAGTTGGTCTTCCAGCAATGAAGTCATCCTTAGATGAGTACTCAGTCAGCGTATCAGTCCTGTAGGGGGTCCAGGGCATATAGTAAATCTTGTCAGAGGCCTGAAGAGGGTCTTTGCACCATGCCCCAGATTGGTGGTCAGACTCAAACAAATGTTCACTCTGGTACACTCCTTTTAGTAGTCCAGGACAAAGAAAAACTGTTGGAAGGGGAAGAGTTAAAATAATAAATATATTAGTTTTTAATATTTTGTGATATGTTCTTATTTGTATATACTAATTGAATGCAACTCTAATAAGAGATACCCACCACTGGCAAGTTCTATTCTTGCATTTTTCAGAGAACATAAAATATGCTTTCACATTCATTTGGCTTTATCGCATATCATTTTTCTTCAAGTTCCTGTTAAAATTTGGCCTTTGGGGGAGTAATGGTTTTTATGTGCTTTAAATTTTCAAATATGTGTTGCTATATGTTTTGGATACAAGTATCTAGATGTGACATATGACTATGTATTCTATATACATAAACCAAATACAAATACTGATACACAAAGGTTTTCATTGATTCACTGAATAGCCTATCTTACTTCAAATTTTATATATATATCAACTCTTCTGAAATTAGTTATCCAATTGTTATCATGATATAAAGTCCATAGTATTTAAAAGAAAGAAAAACGCTTTAATACAAGGCACCAAAATTTCTAGCCATCATCTTCTCAAAGCTGGTATAGCACACACAGAGCATGCGACCCACACGATTATAAATGAGTGATGGATGGATACTGGAGGGAAAAGAGAAAGGAAGAAAAGGAAAGGAAAGAAGAACAAAGGTAGAAGAAAAGGTGAAAGGTTACAGAGAGGAGCCCAAGATCTAGATTTTAATCAGTTAAAAAAGTCCTGTTAAATACAGTAGAATTGGGACTTACAAAAAAAAAATGTATCTTTTACTGTTACATGAGAAGAGCATTAACAAAAACAAATAAATGAATAAAAAAACAAGATTACTTGCTATACTATTTTGCTGCTCAAACTTCATAATGAATGTGAGTGAGAATCACCTGATTCAATGTGGTTTAGAAAGACTGAGTAGCACAGCATGTGAGTTATGGGAACAAAGCACACGCAGCTGATTCATCTACAAGGAAGGGGCTAAGAAGCAATGTGTCCCAAAGAGTAGTCTTTGAAGCACTCATGTCAAGTGAGATTGGTAGGTGTTAAACAGGGGAAAACAAACACAAAAGGATCCATAGTTACAGTGTTTGTTTGAGAAGAATCCTATTAAACAGATTCATGGTAGAAATCCTAATAGTGAATTAATGAACACTAGTGAATTTTCAAGGAAGAAGTAAGGAAAATGTGCAAATTGCACCAACTAATTGGATCCTGAAACTCTTTGTCTCCATATGCTTGATTTGGATGTAGCGTTACAATTAACCTGCTATGAGAAAGACTTCTCTGATTTGTTTTTGTTTTTTTTCAAAAACAAACATGCTGAACAATAATCATATAACTCACAGGTATATTTTAAATTATTTTTGAGTGCACAAAAAAGAAAACAAACAAAAAAATGCCATTGAGTCAATTCTGACTCACAGCAGCCCTGAAACTTTTTTAAAAAATCACAAAGAATATGGCTATTGATCCCTATTTTAATAATTACAGGATTGTTCTCTCACATTGATGACTAGCTCTTTAATAGGTACAATAAGCATAGATTTAATGGAAAACAAAACAAGATGAAATTTAGCTAGATTTTTTGAGGCTATCAAAATTAATTATTAGATTTCATACTGTTTTCCTTTTTGAAAAAATACAAGGTTTGGGCAGAATGTTAACAGCTAAAATTTTCGTAGAAAGAACAGAGAACAATAATTGATTTATATTCAATAGTGATGGTTTTATGAAATTTTAGAAGTTTAAAAATATGATTTCTTTAATTATAAAGGGTGGGTATTTGCTGTTGTCAAAATCCTATATATAATTTATAATAAAATTGCCAATCAGTCATTGGTTACTAATTTATGTTAAGAGTTTTACAGAAAACTGTCATTCTCCCTCCGCACAGCACTTTTAAAAAATTAAAAGAATAAAGGAAACTACAGAACAATGGAATTGATCTAGTATAGAAATTAGACAAGTGCAACGTAATTGCTATGTACCACCATCTAGTAGATTTTGATGACATCTAAGAATAGAGAGGAATGAAAACACACTGTAAGATGATATACGACTAAGCTGTTTTAGGACCAAATCAGCATTGGGCAGTGGATGAAAGTGTAGCAAAGTTGAGCAGCAGTAGTAAATAAAATTTCATAAAAGAATTAATAACAAAATTATTTTAACTAAATGTTAAACTGTTAAATAACTTAGCCTATAAATAGTATATAATTTATGAAAGGTATTTAATTACCTTTTTGTTCCACTTCTATTGGAGAGAGAGAAGTAAAGAGAGAAAGGAGAAAAGAGAATAGATTAATGGTACGGTATTGGCCAGGCACTTTTTATTCACCTCTTCCAAACAGAAAATAAATACTATTGTATTTCACTCATACTTGTCTTATTGAACATAGTATGTTTTCAAAGCGCCCATTTTTCTAATATAATTAATTTTATAAAGTAACCATATTGTAAATTTTACAATATAGTAAAAACAAAGAAAAAATAGGCAAAATGAATTAGGATTAAATATACCATTTCAAAGTAAAAGCTTAGGAAAAACAAAATATCATAATAAGAACAATAATATTTCCACTTGAAAGGCAGGTCAGTAATAATGTATTGCGATCTTTCAAATAGTTTTGCTAGTCTTCCTTTTTAAACATGATCGTTTATATCACTATTTAACATAGCAATTAGTCTTGCTTTTCACCCATCTCAAGAATTAATCACCTCAGAATACACAATCTTATTTTGAAAAGCCTAAGAATTTCCCTAGCTTGTCAGTCTTATGACAAAGTATCTCATGAGGCTACATATTTAGAGGAAATTCTCTTAACCTAATAGATTCCGACTCCTTGAAAAACTACTCTCCCATGCATCCATATTTTATATTATTATGGAAGGGGACTGTCTTAAATAAAAATCTGTTATTACAGGGTGGATATTAATAATGAGCCTCCAGCTCTGGTAAGATTTGAAATTCTTGACTGAATCTTATGTACTTTTGTGAAAAGAAACATCATTAATCACCTACGTGATACCTAGATTCTAAAGAGGAAGCTCATTTTGTTTATGGTCATTGTGCCTGAGGCACTGATCAACACAGGAATGAGTCCCTCCAGATTTCTAGATATTGTAATTATTCACCAAATTCATCAAATAATACCTTCTCTGCCCTACAAACATTTGTCTCATCAGACAAAATTTGTCTAGAGTTCAATGAGAGAAAAAAAATGAGTCAGAAATAGAGCCACACTGCACGTTTAAAAGTCAGAGATCACAAGTGATGCAAAATTAAGGCAATCAGAATGAAGGGATTTAAAAACATTTAAGAAAGTTTCAAAAAGAGACAAAGGAGAGGTACCCATTTGATAATTATATTTGAGGAAAATATCCATGCTTACGTAATTTTTGTAAAAGTCACACTCACTTCTCTATGTAAAAAAATCAAATGGATAGTAGTTCTGGTTCACCACAGTGCTTTCACAAATCTTTTATTTTTAACAGTGTTTCTAGGATTCTGTTTGAAACTGTCATAATTTGCCATTATCCTCAATTAATCTTTGACAGGCAACTGCGATGCTTACAGTAGTGTTTGCCTCAACCCCGATCAGCTGAAAAGTTTATCTAAGACAGGCACCTCATGCTGTGATAAGAATCTTAAACACACTTGTGGCAGACTGACAAATAAAAAAAATCATAATGAAAT